ACACATTTTCTATCATTCTACTATTCTAAAATTCATTTTTCCATAAAAATGGGTGTCAAACACCCTCTTTATCATCTCATATCTTATTATCTAAATGACTGATTCCATTGTTCCTGAGTTTGGGAGGACTGGAGTCTGTGACTATTATATTTGAAATACTAGTCATTTCAAGGAAAGAGAAAACTTCTCTTCAAACGTCTTTGTTCACTGTTCACCATTCCCCATTCTCTTGATTTTAATTTCTGTCAATCTGTCTCAAAAATCTCTTGTTTATATAAGTAGAAATTCTTATTTATATCTGAATCGTTTATGCAGGATAATTATGCCATTCAAAGCTTTGAACGTGGCATTGCTGCTCAGGATGCTGATGCTTTTAAATGGGAGATTGCTCCAGTATGATCACTAGAGATTAAATATTCGTACTTGATGTAGCTCATTCGGTTTGTTGTGGACCACATTCTAAATATTATTATGGTATCACGCAGGTTGAAGTCTCTGGAGGGAGAGGAAAACCATCTACAATTGTTGACACGGATGAAGGTCTAGGAAAGGTGAATATCCCCTCTGCTACTTTACATGAACACATCTCTTGCTACAATACTGGTTTCTCTCCCTAAATTGTTTCCCTGTAATGTGACTTAATTGTTGGCCTTCAAAAAAAAAAAAAGGGGAAGAAAAAATAATTATTGGCCAAAATATTTATCTTATGAGAAAGAGTGCTATTTTTTTTTCATTTAATCTCATTGAAGTTGTGTGAGGAAAAAATAATTATGCACATGGTCAAAGAAAAGTTCTTTTCTCTCCCCTATGCTCTATTGCTTTGGAAAAGCATTATTAGATTTCCTGTAATGCCTGTTTATGCATCCAAATCTACCGTGGATCAGAAGATGAAGGCATGTAATCAACTAGCATAATTTATGCATATATTTAGTCAGTTGGCAATTTAGCATCACCTGCCTCATTGCACTGAAGCTACTATTATCTTTGTTATTGTTGCCACTGAATCCTTCTCTTTGTGGTCAGTTTGATGCTGCAAAATTGAGGAAGCTTAGACCAAGTTTCAAGGAAACTGGTGGTACTGTGACAGCTGGCAATGCTTCTAGTATAAGGTTTATTTCCTTTATTTTTCCTTGATTCTTATAGTTAGATTCTACTATTTTAAGTGCCTAAAGGCCCTGCCAAAACAAATATGCGGAGATCACTAAATGCTTTCTATGGTAAAGTACCAAGTTGCAGAACAACTAGATCAAACGAGGGTTGGATCCTCGTGAAAACGATACTATACATTCATGAAAGTTTCCTAGAATTTCATGAGAAACCAAACTCATTCCTGTTATACAACAGGAATACTAATTATTCTGCCCTTGTAGCTGTATTGAAATGCTTATAAATTCTATTTCACCTTGATTTTTACACTATCTCATACAATGACTAAATTTCTCTTTTAGTTTAGGAGGAAATGAAATTTAAAATATTTTGAGTTCAGGATTTTGAAATTCAGTTTATTATTATTTACCGAGTTTGATCTCATTTTCAGTGATGGTGCTGCTGCTTTGGTCTTAGTAAGTGGAGAGAAGGCTCTTAAGCTTGGTCTGCAAGTGATTGCAAAGATCACAGGATATGCTGATGCTGCTCAGGTAATGTGCATACATATCTGAAGATCTCAGCAAGTAGTTTGGTTTGGTTGGCTCTACCTTGAAGATGAAAACATGAAGGAATCAGAGGATGAAATTTAACTTGGTTTCGTTTCTCCGTCAACTATGACTAATAGTTGAGTTTACGATTTTAATGTTTGACTGGAACACACTGTGCAGGCACCTGAATTATTTACAACTGCTCCAGCCCTCGCAATTCCAAAAGCTATATCGAATGCTGGCCTAGAAGCTTCTCAAATTGACTTTTATGAAATCAACGAGGCTTTCGCGGTATGCTCCTTCAACCTTAGTCCTTTTAAAGCACCAAGCAATTAGTTTGTTATTATATATTGAACACATGGAACGTGCAGGTTGTGGCTCTTGCAAACCAAAAGCTGCTGGGACTTGATCCAGTAAGTTCTACAGCTTCAATCCATCCTCCCAACCCCCACCCCCCAACCACCACCACCCACACACACAAGCGCCTGCTTGTGCACATGAAAATCTGCTCATCTGTATTTACTCTTAGAATAATTCTAGTGGTACATAATTTCTTGTACCTAAGGGTGTCCACATTCTCACATGGGTGGACCCCACTCGAATATTTTATTCAAGCGGTCCCACTCCATGTGAGAGGGTGGACACCATTAGGTACAATAAATTATGTACCACTAGCATGATTCTTACTCTTATAATGATTAGACCTCATTATGTTCTTATATTCCTGGTATAAATTTGCAGGAGAAAGTCAATGTACATGGAGGAGCTGTAGCCCTAGGGCATCCTCTTGGTTGCAGTGGAGCGCGTATCTTGGTCTCACTTTTGGGGGTATGTTCTGAAATCCACTGGAATGCAAATGTGATGTTACTTGAATTAAACGCATGGTAATCAGGAGATATCAACTCCCTAACGTGGCAATAATTAGGGAGTAGAAATGTACAGTTCTTTGTTTGAGTTCGCCAGGAAGTTAGGACTTTATACTTTGATCCGATGATTCATTTTCCTTGGAACGGATTAAGTATGCCATTTCTACCATTAACGATCCAATTGTGTGGCAGGTATTGAAGCTGAAGAATGGGAAATACGGAGTTGGTGGGGTTTGCAATGGAGGAGGAGGTGCTTCCGCGCTTGTTGTACAGCTCGTGTAACCTTCTTCAGTTTTGGTAAGCATCAAAGTTAATGAAACCCTTCTTTAAGGAATACATCATGAATGTAGTGCTCATGGTTCCATTGTATCGCGTCATAGCATAAGAAATGGTGTTGCATGCTAAAGGGACCGGGATATGGAGTTGTATTAATGCATTTTGTCCCCCAATTAACAAATATGCTGGACTAGATGCATACCATCTTGGTTGATAAAAAATGAACCTGACTGGCATTTGAGTGGATGCGTCGACACTAATAAACATGTCTCTTTTCTCACAGCTTAAGCTTGTAGACTAGTATGTCTAACTGATAATCTGTCTCTATTGCAGCTATTTTCGAGAGAGTGGACCATACATCTGAAGTACATTATCACTGTTGGCAGCTACTTTCACTTAATGTGGTTCAAACGGGGCCATTAAAATGTGTTTTGGAAAGTTTTTAAGCGGCATTCAAAATTTTAAGCACTTTTTGGTTACAATTTTGGAAAAGTTAAAATGACATTATGGTTCACTTCTTTCATCTTTTTCTTGTTTTACTTAATCTTGATTGGTGCTCGTGCACTGGTATTTCTTATGTTGTAGTCTTGTACTTGGGCAGGTCTCACAATTGAAGGCAGTTTCAGTTCCCTTCGGTGGAAAAAGCTTCAAACCAGTCCCTCATCGTTTCCGCGTTGCCTGTGCGGTATGCTTTGATTATAGTTGTTTTATATTATCTTCAAAGATTCAACATTTGTTTCTATCTACTGCTTAGTTTTTCTCGGGATTCTTGTTACGATGCTACTACTGATAATAATACACGTTGTTTTAGAAATGGTTGAGTTTAAATGCAAGCTGTGTTAATGGTTAACTCTGGATTCCATAATGTAATTGAGCATGACATGGTTTCACGGGGTGCCTTTCTTCTTGGCACAGAAAGGGACACCGTGCGGCAGTAGTCTGCTCCGCTAGACTACATTCCGCCTTTTCTCGATCGCGTCGGGACGAAAGAAAATTTGATTGCAATTTTGTAGAAAGCTTACAATTGAGAATTTGAATACATTGAAAGTAAATTGAACATTGATTGCTGAAAACTGAACATTACAATTGATGAAAGCAGAAAATTACAAATGCTGGTGCAGGGGGCGGACACCAGTGAGCTTGAAAGATTTTGAATGACTAATACCCCCTATAATAGCATTCTGAACAAAAACCCAAGTGACGGGAGTAGACGTTTAAAAGACGAGGAATCATACTAATCTTTTACCAATATCAGAGCTATTTTACAATTAAAATAACTATTACAATGAAACGAAAATTACAACTCAAACTTGAAGTAATATTTACAATGTGCGGCCGAAGTTGGGCAAACTGCGGCTGCGATAGTGTCAAGGGGCTAAGTAAAGCTGCGGTCCTTGACACAAGGTGTTGTAATCAAGATAAATTTTGATAGGACGGTCGCACCGTCCTATGTGGTGCGACCGTCGAATGAGGGCCACCGTTTATTGGGTGATGGTGGCCACCCGATAAGGTAGTAACTTCTCATTCCACGGTCGCATCACATAGGATGATGCGATCGTCTCATCAAAACGATGCAATCATCCCATCAAAATCTTTCTCGTTGTAACCAAGAAAGTGCTTAGTACATAGGAAGAGACCACAAGGCTCCAAGCTATTCATTGGGGGAATTTAAGCAAATTTCGGAAGGGGACAAAAACGAATTTTAGGACTATTTTGTCCATTTTTTGTGAGCATTTTGCCCAATATTTTCATATGTTGGATGGCAAATTACTTCGTACCAAATAAACAATTTTATCAATCAAACATAATTATGGTCGAATTGGATAAAAACATGAGCTCTACCTCAATATAGCATTTTGACTCTAAGTCGAGTTGTATGGATAAAAAATTCAACTAAACTCAAGTAGATACTACTTGAACTAAACATTAAAAAATTTCTAACTTTGCCTAATTCAACCTTGGTTGGTCCAAAAATCGATTTATGCAAATGTTTATATGTCTAAATTAAACTCATTTTATGTCAAACAATAAAATTGAGCTCGTTTGGAGCTCCTTAATGTTCAACTAAACCCATAATATATGTCCACGAATGATTGGCATTTTTTAGATATTGGTTTGATTTTGTATTTGATAAAGTATATGGTTGAGAAGTTTTAAAAAAAATGTGAATCTATCTGGATTTCAAAAAATGAATTTTACAAAAAAGGAGGTGAGGCAAAATTTGTTGAAAACTAATCCTAAATTGAAAATTCTCCACAACTCGCTCACAATCCATACTTGTTTGTTTGTTCTTTCAGGGAGAATTATGATAGCTAGTAGCAATTTCATATCCTGCAATTTCTCCTGTCTGAGAATTACCAACAAATCTTGTTCAAGAAGGATAACCCCATTATTATCATCATTTATTAAACCGTATGATTTTCAAAGAGTCTCCAAATTTTCAGCTTTTCTGAACAATTACGAGGAGAAGAAGAAGAAGGGTCTTCTCCAAATATGTCAGAATGCATTCTACGTAAGGAGTACTATACAAGACCCTGTACTTGTTCCTTTAAAGGAAAACGGTGGTAGGAGTGGCGGTAGTGGGGGCGATGGTGGTGGTGATGGGGGTGGAGAAGAGAGAGACTGGACGTCGTCGTTTTTGCTTTTTGCTTTCTGGGCTGGAATCATGTACTACGTTTTCTTCCTCTCACCCAACCAGACCCCGGTATGTATTATTCTCCTCTTATCTTAATTCTTCAACTCTGTTCTTTATTTTACCCCCTTTTTCAGTTTTTTAATGCCAAATTTCTTATATGTTCTGATTTCATTTTGTGTTTTTATACCATGAATCTTCTCTTGTAAATTATGTTGTTCTAGATACTCTAGCTGCTTGTTCCCATTGCTCTAGTTTCGTGAAAAAATGGAAATGCCAACCTCAAAATGAGGGGAAAAGAAACTCTATATACTATATACTTGATTGTGCCACATCCCTAAAACCAAATCACAGTGTTTAGGTATTGTCTTGTCCATAAGAATTCCTTGTTGCTGAAGCATTTTTCACAATTATTGTGGGGAGTGGCGATATCAAAAACTGGTTGGATGACAATTATTTGCTCTACGGTCTGGTGATTTGGGGAGTACTACGACATGCCTCGATTACGAGCCTTTGATCTTTAAGCCAAATTTCTGTATTTAACGAGCCCAAGTGCCTGATCACTGTACTTGCTTCCACACGAATATGAGGACTCTGTGGTTCCTGAGTGGACATCTTATCCATTTGGTGCATGTTTGATACCATGTATTGGACAGAATAACAAACATTTTAGCTTCTTCGATTCTTCTTTCCACCCGAGGAAGGGAAAGCTTCCCATGTTTCATCCTTAATATTCCATTCTTCCATCCTCGACTCTCACCAGGGAAAGGGTTAAGATTGCCATGAAAAGAGCCTTAGGCCTGGGTAGAATATACTTACTAATTGGACTACAGTTTTCTTTATAATCTTTAAGTAACTATCTGATTTAATTTTCATCATTTTGGTTTTCTAACTTTACGATGCTCTGATTTTGGACCTCTGTAGTCATTGGACATGTATTTCTTGGAAAAACTCCTCAATTTGAAAGGAGACGATGGCTTCCAAATGAATGAAGTGATTGTGGCTCTATGGTACATCATGGGTTTATGGCCTTTGGTATACAGCATGCTGCTTCTTCCAACTGGTAGAAGGTAACTTGCTTCTATTCCTTCATTCTTTTCGCTAGAACTACAAAAAGGTATTGTCTTCTAATTGGAGAAATGAGTTTAGAATATTGGCATCATTCCATTGCGTCCAATTTTCTTTGATCATGTGCAATGTATGTTTTCAACGTGGTATTGTGTGGTTCGTGTTTTGCAGCATAGTCAGGCATGGGATTTATATCATAAAAAAGTTGTGATGAGAACTTGGGAAGATGTATTCTTTCCAAATTTCCATCAAATCTCTAGGAAGTTCTTCTAATCTTAGACATCTTCTTTTTGCAGTTCAAAGGGAAAAGTTCCTGTTTGGCCATTTCTCATACTTTCATGCTTTGGTGGTGCGTATGTGCTTATTCCCTATTTTGTTCTCTGGAGACCACCAGCTCCACCCGTCGAAGAAACTGAAATGAGAAGATGGCCTCTAAATTTTCTGGAATCAAAGTTAACTGCAGCGGTAGGGTGTGTTTTCATTTACTAGTTATGAATGCGTTCTCCTTTGTATGTTTGGGTCATGTAACCTAACAAATTCCACATCAGATTACAATGGCTGCAGGGCTAGCTATAATCACTTATGCCAGTTTATCTGGTGTTGATGCGTGGAATGAATATTTCCAGTACTTTGGAGGAAGCAAATTTGTGAGTATTTCTATTCTTGTTACATCTTATGAATTGATGAAAATACACCCCACACCACCCCCACCTTTAAAAGAGAATGAAGAAGAGAGGGAGGAGATAAGCTTATGGAGATTCTTTTGATTTTCAGATACATCTCACCTCTATCGATTTTAGCCTATTATCAGCATTCGCTCCTTTCTGGGTATACAATGACATGACTGCTCGAAAATGGTGAGATTCGAGTCACTAAGTTTTTCTTTAACCAGATTGAATAGAATTTTACAAAGATAAAGTATATAGAATGATGTTATCTTGTAGGGAAGGAAAAGGTTATTGGCTTCTTCCCTTGTCACTGATTCCATTCTTGGGTCCTTCTCTCTATCTTCTCCTACGGCCATCGCTATCAGCAGCTCCAGTTTCACAAAGCCCAACAGTATTAGACGAGAAATGATTTACAGAATCTGCGCGTTCAAAATCACTTGTACAAAGAAACAATTACAATACAATTTGCACCTGTAAAAAGATCTGATCTAGTTATTCAAGAGGGGCAAGCAAGGGAAGATGGATTGTCCAGAAAGTCAAGGTGCACCAGAGTATAATTGTCTTCTTAAAAATGGCAGGTCTTGTTTAACATTATGTTCAAATGATTTGCACTTCTTGTTTAGTAGGCGAAACAATAGAGCCATCTGTTAAATTAGCTTATACATGCATAAAAATATTAATGTGAAATTATTGACTGCCTCCTGATACAAAATCTGAAAATCATATAATCAATTGTGTGATGCTGGGACTACTCAGACCCTTAGAAATTCATTATCGAAGTTTTTATATTAGCATCTTGGAAAGCTAGGTGGTAGGAGTGACAAATCCTGCAAAAATTGACATATTGTATACTCTTCTATCAATAATCCAAAATACCAATCAACAGTACAATATGTTAGTAGTCAACACATATATAAATAAACAAGCCACTAGAATTCGATGAACGCTTGGATAACTTATACAAAAAAGTACTCTCTGAATGAAATGATGAAAAACAGAAGCATGCCTAAGAAAGATCAAAAGAACCAGCAAGTGGAATTGGTTTGTCACTGATATAGTATCCTAGTAATATCAGCTACATATAAAGATTACATTATTCGTCGTTAAACTGAAAATTTGGTGGTCATTTCTGGGAAACAGGAAAGAATCTTACAATAGCCAAATAACACATAGAACTTAAACTCCTCGAAGAACATGGCATTTGTAAGAAACAGCAAGAGATACAGAGTGGCCGAACATTTTCCCTTTTGATGTTGAATCACAGCAAAATGAAGCACGTAAAGGAAGAAAATGCGTCACTCGTACAATTCCTGGAGCTCGTTCTTGAACTTGTTCTTCAATTGTTCCCTTTTTAATTTGAGAGCTGCAGTAACCAATCCAGATTCTGGAGTCCACGGTTCTGGCAACAGCTTGATCTTTGCTGGAATTTCAAATTTATCCAGTTTTGCAGCTTTTGCTTCCTGCAGATTGCCAGTCACATAAGTTTCTACACTTATTGTCTTCCTACTTCCTCAACATTGCTTTATTTCACTTTCATTATATTATAAAACAATAAAAACACGGAAAAAAAATTCCAGAAGTAAAGAAATCTTAAAGCGCTTGTTGTACAGCTCGTGTAACCTTCTTCAGTTTTGGTAAGCATCAAAGTTAATGAAACCCTTCTTTAAGGAATACATCATGAATGTAGTGCTCATGGTTCCATTGTATCGCGTCGTAGCATAAGAAATGGTGTTGCATGCTAAAGGGACCGGGATATGGAGTTGTATTAATGCATTTTGTCCCCCAATTAACAAATATGCTGGACTAGATGCATACCATCTTGGTTGATAAAAAATGAACCTGACTGGCATTTGAGTGGATGCGTCGACACTAATAAACATGTCTCTTTTCTCACAGCTTAAGCTTGTAGACTAGTATGTCTAACTGATAATCTGTCTCTATTGCAGCTATTTTCGAGAGAGTGGACCATACATCTGAAGTACATTATCACTGTTGGCAGCTACTTTCACGAGAATAGACCTCATTGCGAGTAGATTATAAGCATCATCTTCAAATTTAGATTGTTGCACAATTTTCTATCTATTATCTGTCCATTTTATCTTCCTTCTCTCGCTCTAAGCAATAAATGAGAATGTATTACTATTGAAATAGTAGAAGTGAATAATTATTTCAATCTTTGTTTCTCTCTCTAGCTCGCACACTTGTTCACATCGACAACACTTAACAGAGTTGTGCTCTTTCTTTATTCTCCTTCATTAGGTTGTGTTCTTTCCTAAATGCTCTTTTTTGGGCTGTTTCTGTTTTTGTTTATTTATTTGGAATAATGCTATTCATAATGAAGGCTACCGGTAGTTGTCATGCGTGGCATACACATGGTAATTTGTTATTTAATTGATGAGACAATAAAAACTATCACATTAATGCATTAAATAACAAATTATCATGTGTATGTCACGTGAGACGACTATCGATAATTTTTACTATAAATAGCATTACTCCTCTCTGAGGGCAAGGAACATGTGTGTTATGCCGCGAGGGGCATAATCCAGTGGTGCAAAGAATATGAGTGAGGTAGTTTCAGTCTTGATAACAGTTGCAGTGTGAATGTTCGATTTTTGAGATATGGAATTAGATTTTTTGTGGGCACCAGTGTACATGCAAGCTTTTGTTTCCTGGTCTGTTGGGGCACATTTCGCGATTTACCTCCCTTACGATACTCTAGGGGGGGCCATCAAGATTGGGGTTCAACTTTTTTTTTTTAAACATGTGTGATATGATTATTTTCTCTACTACTATTTATCTTTACTTTTACTTAAAGTTGGAAATTATGGTTCTGACATTTTCTTCAACGCATTTAAGTCAATCAACTGACTTTTGTCTGTTTTTAAGTCGTTATGGTTGATGTTGCTTCTGTTCATTGAGGTGGCAAAAGTGGTGGTTGTCAACGCCCGAAGGTCTTGTACGTCGTTGTGTTAGGTATTTCTCTATCGGAAAATTTTGGGGTTGTGATTGTCTATCCCAGAGCACTCTCGGCCATACATGCGTGCCAAGGTGTTGTAACTTCTCATTCAACGGTCGCATCACATAGAATGATGCGATCGTCTCATCAAAACGATGCAATCGTCCCATCAAAATCTTTCTCGTTGTAACCAAGAAAGTGCTTAGTACATAGGAAGAGACCACAAGGCTCCAAGCTATTCATTGGGGGAATTTAAGCAAATTGCGGAAGGGGACAAAAACGAATTTTAGGACTATTTTGTCCATTTTTTGTGAGCATATGGCAAATTACTTCGTACCAAATAAACAATTTTATCAATCAAACATAATTATGGTCGAATTGGATAAAAACATGAGCTCCACCTCAATATAGCATTTTGACTCTAAGTCGAGTTGTATGGATAAAAAGTTCAACTAAACTCAAGTACAGACTACTTGAACTAAACATTAAAAAATTTCTAACTTTGCCTAATTAAACCTTGGTCGGTCCAAAAATCGATTTATGCAAATGTTTATATGTCTAAATTAAACTCGTTTTATGTCAAACAATAAAATTGAGCTCATTTGGAGCTCCTTGATGTTCAACTAAACCCACAATATATGTCCACAAATGATTGGCATTTTTAGATAACGATTTGATTTTGTATTTGATAAAATATATGGTCGAAAAGTTTAAAAAAAATGTGAATCTATCTGGATTCCAAAAAATGAATTTTACAAAAAAGGAGGTGAGGCAAAATTTGTTGAAAGCTAATCCTAAATTGAAAATTCTCCACAACTCGCTCACAATCCATACTTGTTTGTTTGTTCTTTCAGGGAGAATTATGATAGCTAGTAGCAATTTCATATCCTGCAATTTCTCCTGTCTGAGAATTACCAACAAATCTTGTTCAAGAAGGATAACCCCATTATTATCATCATTTATTAAACCGTATGATTTTCAAAGAGTCTCCAAATTTTCAGCTTTTCTGAACAATTACGAGGAGAAGAAGAAGAAGGGTCTTCTCCAAATATGTCAGAATGCATTCTACGTAAGGAGTACTATACAAGACCCTGTACTTGTTCCTTTAAAGGAAAACGGTGGTAGGAGTGGCGGTAGTGGGGGCGATGGTGGTGGTGATGGGGGTGGAGAAGAGAGAGACTGGACGTCGTCGTTTTTGCTTTTTGCTTTCTGGGCTGGAATCATGTACTACGTTTTCTTCCTCTCACCCAACCAGACCCCGGTATGTATTATTCTCCTCTTATCTTAATTCTTCAACTCTGTTCTTTATTTTACCCCCTTTTTCAGTTTTTTAATGCCAAATTTCTTATATGTTCTGATTTCATTTTGTGTTTTTATACCATGAATCTTCTCTTGTAAATTATGTTGTTCTAGATACTCTAGCTGCTTGTTCCCATTGCTCTAGTTTCGTGAAAAAATGGAAATGCCAACCTCAAAATGAGGGGAAAAGAAACTCTATATACTATATACTTGATTGTGCCACATCCCTAAAACCAAATCACAGTGTTTAGGTATTGTCTTGTCCATAAGAATTCCTTGTTGCTGAAGCATTTTTCACTCTTTCTTTATTCTCCTTCATTAGGTTGTGTTCTTTCCTAAATGCTCTTTTTTGGGCTGTTTCTGTTTTTGTTTATTTATTTGGAATAATGCTATTCATAATGAAGGCTACCGGTAGTTGTCATGCGTGGCATACACATGGTAATTTGTTATTTAATTGATGAGACAATAAAAACTATCACATTAATGCATTAAATAACAAATTATCATGTGTATGTCACGTGAGACGACTATCGATAATTTTTACTATAAATAGCATTACTCCTCTCTGAGGGCAAGGAACATGTGTGTTATGCCGCGAGGGGCATAATCCAGTGGTGCAAAGAATATGAGTGAGGTAGTTTCAGTCTTGATAACAGTTGCAGTGTGAATGTTCGATTTTTGAGATATGGAATTAGATTTTTTGTGGGCACCAGTGTACATGCAAGCTTTTGTTTCCTGGTCTGTTGGGGCACATTTCGCGATTTACCTCCCTTACGATACTCTAGGGGGGGCCATCAAGATTGGGGTTCAACTTTTTTTTTTTAAACATGTGTGATATGATTATTTTCTCTACTACTATTTATCTTTACTTTTACTTAAAGTTGGAAATTATGGTTCTGACATTTTCTTCAACGCATTTAAGTCAATCAACTGACTTTTGTCTGTTTTTAAGTCGTTATGGTTGATGTTGCTTCTGTTCATTGAGGTGGCAAAAGTGGTGGTTGTCAACGCCCGAAGGTCTTGTACGTCGTTGTGTTAGGTATTTCTCTATCGGAAAATTTTGGGGTTGTGATTGTCTATCCCAGAGCACTCTCGGCCATACATGCGTGCCAAGGTGTTGTAACTTCTCATTCAACGGTCGCATCACATAGAATGATGCGATCGTCTCATCAAAACGATGCAATCGTCCCATCAAAATCTTTCTCGTTGTAACCAAGAAAGTGCTTAGTACATAGGAAGAGACCACAAGGCTCCAAGCTATTCATTGGGGGAATTTAAGCAAATTTCGGAAGGGGACAAAAACGAATTTTAGGACTATTTTGTCCATTTTTTGTGAGCATTTTGCCCAATATTTTCATATGTTGGATGGCAAATTACTTCGTACCAAATAAACAATTTTATCAATCAAACATAATTATGGTCGAATTGGATAAAAACATGAGCTCCACCTCAATATAGCATTTTGACTCTAAGTCGAGTTGTATGGATAAAAAGTTCAACTAAACTCAAGTACAGACTACTTGAACTAAACATTAAAAAATTTCTAACTTTGCCTAATTAAACCTTGGTCGGTCCAAAAATCGATTTATGCAAATGTTTATATGTCTAAATTAAACTCATTTTATGTCAAACAATAAAATTGAGCTCGTTTGGAGCTCCTTAATGTTCAACTAAACCCATAATATATGTCCACGAATGATTGGCATTTTTTAGATATTGGTTTGATTTTGTATTTGATAAAGTATATGGTTGAGAAGTTTTAAAAAAAATGTGAATCTATCTGGATTCCAAAAAATGAATTTTACAAAAAAGGAGGTGAGGCAAAATTTGTTGAAAGCTAATCCTAAATTGAAAATTCTCCACAATTCGCTCACAATCCATACTTGTTTGTTTGTTCTTTCAGGGAGAATTATGATAGCTAGTAGCAATTTCATATCCTGCAATTTCTCCTGTCTGAGAATTACCAACAAATCTTGTTCAAGAAGGATAACCCCATTATTATCATCATTTATTAAACCGTATGATTTTCAAAGAGTCTCCAAATTTTCGGCTTTTCTGAACAATTACGAGGAGAAGAAGAAGAACGGTCTTCTCCAAATATGTCAGAATGCATTGTACGTAAGGAATACTATACAAGACCCTGTACTTGTTCCTTTAAAGGAAAACGGTGGTAGGAGTGGCGGTAGTGGAGGCGATGGTGGTGGTGATGGGGGTGGAGAAGAGAGAGACTGGACGTCGTCGTTTTTGCTTTTTGCCTTCTGGGCTGGAATCATGTACTACGTTTTCTTCCTCTCACCCAACCAGACCCCGGTATGTATTATTCTCCTCTTATCTTAATTCTTCAACTCTGTTCTTTATTTTACCCCCTCTTTTCAGTTTTTTAATGCCAAATTTCTTATATGTTCTGATTTCATTTTGTGTTTTTATACCATGAATCTTCTCTTGTAAATTA